AATTACATTTTAAAAGTTGAAATCAGAGTATGTCGTGTTCCAAGTTCAAAAGTACGATATTTGTCGGTGTCATTTTATGTTGCAATAATTTAACATATTACTAGACTTATAGTAAAGTCAATGACCATTTTCCGGTATAATTTTGCCAAACAGCACCGATTTTCATAAAAATTTGGATTTAGGTTCTACTTATCTCTAGTTCAAAGTTGACCTTGTACCGGGGGTTGCTTTTACCTTGGGGTTGGATGCCACCCCTTCTCTGGGGTGAAAAATGTTTCATTGAAAATAACTCTAGGGATATATTGACTAATAAAAAATTTAATAAATAAAATTAAAAAAAAGATGGTAAAATATAAAAAGAGTAGGTAAAGGCATTACCCTCAGTGTTTTAAAATAAGGCTGACAATGGTTCAAAAACTTTGCGTTACCAATAAACCTTATAATATTGTGTGCTTTCTAAATATCTGTATAGCAGAGGAAGAGTTACCCCAGAGAGTAATACCGTAACATAAATGAGAGTGGAACAATGAAAAATAAACTTTTAAGAGAGCACTTTGACTAAAATTTGGTTTTAATTTACGAATAATAAAAGAATAAAACGACAGTTTTCAGTTTTTTCTTTAAAGAATGAACGTAAGGTGACCAACATTTGTAATATTATTATCCTAGCAAAACATTATACATGTAGATTTATCCAAATTTAATTTAAGATTATTATTTGCGAACCACTCATTGGCTTTACTTTCCAATACATTTACATCAAATTGTAAGGAAACTGCATTATTATTGCTACAAATCATGGATGTATCATCAGCGTAGAGAATACACCTCTCAGGAGACAAATAGAGAGAAAGGTCATTCATATAAATTGTAAAGAGTAGGAGCCCCAAAACCGAACCTTGAGATACCCCGCTCTCTACTGCAGTTACGTCAGATCTATCATTTTTTAGAGCAACACATTGCTTTCTGGGAATAAGGTAAGATTTGAACAGTTCTAACTGCATCCTCCTAACACCATAACGGATAAGTTTCTCAATGTGGAGATCATGAGAAATGCAATCAAAGGCCTTGCTAAGATTAAGATATTAAGATATTACACCCTCGAATGTACACAGTTCTATAATTATTTTCGAATAGGGGTAGTTTTCACCCTTAAAAAATAAAAAGCTACCCCCGGCATAGGGTCAACTTTGAAGTACAACCAGATTCTGGTGCAAATCGGTGCTGTTTGGGAAAATTATATAGTAACGCCGTATTTTACCTTCAATGACTGGACCCAAAACGTACTTAATGATTTTCGAGCATCAACAAATTTGGCCTGACTTCTTAGCCTACGTCTCTCAACACCTCCACCGACAGAAATTAATCATGAGACCTAATGGCAATACCGCGTTTTCCAATACGGAGGTCACGTGATGTGGAAAGGGAGCTACAGCAAATTATGCATAACGCTAATATGTGGCAGAGCGTCTCGGCTAATAGGACTCATTAGCTAAATGCCGGTTTAATTAAAGCTTATCTCGAATATCATATCGAGAATCACAATAGCAGACGTAGGAGTTTCTGCAATGGTATGTGATAACCAGACTTTGGCATCTTTGTGGGTAAATAAAACGTCAAGCAGGAAGAAGGCATTGTGTGTTTCTCACGCGTCGAAATTGGGTTGCTACATTTAAAGAAAATTTAAAATGTTTCCATCCTTTGTAGCCTATATCTCACCCACACTCAGAAGCCGCCGGTAGGTCAAAAAGCTAGATCATTTATCTGTCAGGTCAGCACGACAAATGGAGCCATTTGCGCTCTCGCGTACAATGTATTTCTTTGTCGTCACGATACGACGAAAAACAGCCGGATCGTTTGTCGGTTGTCTCACTCATGACACACTGATGAGGACTAATAAGTCCGAAACCGGTCTGTGCCTGGTGGGTTAAACTGACGAACGATCCTAGCTGTTGCACTAGGTGTTGCGAGTATAATTCAATACATGGGTAGGGGCATATAGCCTTCGGAGTAGTTGTTTCTCGCAACACTGACAATTAAAAGCCGACAACTGATTATTCAAATTTTTATTGCCTCTGTATTTCTACCTATGGTTTTTTTAATATCCAATTTATTACACGATGGTGCTATACTTTATAGCTAGATTAGAAGGAAGGGAAACAGCTTTTTTTATTTTTTAGATTTGTTTTCCCTTCGCACCCTCGTATGGAGATTTGGAAATCTAAATGTTCCATAAGTTGGCAGGCACCGTCGCAGAGAAAATCTCCACAGATAAACGCGTATATTTTATTTGTGTCTTTCGTATCCGTTCTCCTTGAGATAGGTTGCTGGTCGCGATAGAATGTACGTGTTCTGGCCAGGAAATAGCCGTTATCAAGGAGGCGGTCGAATTCTGGAGGATCCTCAAACGTATCAACATTCCGTAATTGGCTCTGGCCTCGGTTCTTCCCGGCGAAAAGAGAAAGCTCGATTTAGGGTGGGTTCCGAAGGACCTGCCACGTTCACTAGCGCAATACGTCGTTAAAAAATTAAACGTGTTTCACTCAACACATTTTATTAGTACAATAATATTGTAATAAATTTTAAATTATCCCTCGAATAAGAAATACAAAACTGTAACATTTTTTCGGGGCAGGATCGTATTCTGCTTAAATTTAAACTGTTCACGGTTTAATTTTGTTGCTGTTTTGTTTATTTTGGATTAATTTAACATGTCTAACACTGTTCGGCTGCTGAAGTGGATGAATAATATTTTGTTCAGAACCAAGGACAAGTTATTTTGTGCTTCTTTGTTTTCTTTACAGTATTGTTTTAATAGACTAGCTTTTTTAGCGTATTGACAGTAACATTTGTATTTATTTATTATTTTATCGGAAACAATCGTATTTGCCATTTTCTTTGTTGACTCAATTCAAACGATTTTTTTAATCCTGCATCAAAGTCGGAAACTATGTATATTTTTTATAAACATTTCCATTTAGAGGAAAGTTTAATACTAATTTTACAATTTAATATTTCCCCTTTTACTCGTACAAAACATTGAAAATTTGATGCAGTTTTTGCATAAAGTTTCTCGTAACTGTTTGCTCAATAAAAGCCAGGAAGTTCAACTTTTGCGACTGTGATTGTAATATTCCATGAAAAATTATGTCAACCATGAAAAAGCCCTGCCTATTAAATATGTAATATCGCAATAGCGTTGTTAATGGAAGTAGCGTGTTATCATTTTTTGTGATGTTTCATTAAACAGTCAATCGATCAGTGATGAACGTGTTTAAAGTCCATGAATGTTTTATTCTCGCATAAAAAAATACGTAGATACTAATAAATCCATGTCCACATTTAGGAATTTAATACTACAAGAGTTTAATTATTTAACTTTCCTGTTTATTAATAAGCTTATTCAGAAAACTAAAGACTAACGACGGTTTAACTAAAATCTAGGTAAGTTTCTATTTAATGATTGGTCGACGACGCGTTTTCCCTCACTTTTTCCTGCTAAGAACTAAATCAAACCACCGTGTTTTCACATCGAAGAGTACTTGTCATACCTACATCAACACAGAAAGGCAAATTATTGACGATGTTGTCAGTTAGGTGTGTATTAACCTTTTTGCGGAGGATATCAATCTATTTCCTGTCATAAATGCTATTTCTTTTTTTATTTTTAATATTCTTCGATACATTAGGTGACTGTTCTCCATAGAAACAGTGCTAACTTTTATAAATCAATGGAAACTAACTTAGAAAATGTAGTTGGTTGATATTAAATTAATGGAAAACTAATATTTCATGATTAAGTTACTCACAGTGCCTTCACAGGTACGTTTTTTTTTCTAATTTGGTTAAACTTAAAATATGTTCCGTTTATCAATATTCCGCATTATTCAAATTTACATAAAGAAAGTAAATACCCAACTTTTTGAATTTCGGATTCCCTTTCCCGAATCGTTTCATCGGTAGCGGTTCTGTTCCAGATTGGTAGGTACTTTGTGCCTCCTCAAATGACTTTAAAGTTAATTTTCAATCAGCGGGATCACCAGTGCGTATAAACCCGCCAGCCTTCAATTATTTATTAATTTCCTCTTTTCCGGCTCCGTTCCGCCGGACTCTGAGCCGTTATCCATCCAGACAGTTTACAAAAATACGCCCCTACCAGGCAGAGGCCCCCAAGAAACAAGCGACCCTTGAAATTTATTAAATTTGGGGGGCCCTTAGGAGGAACTGCATTTATAAAACATTATTTAATGCGTTCCTTTGGACCTTATGCCTCGGTTTAGTACAAAATTTGATGCTTTTATCGCTTTTTTAAATTATCATCAAAGCTGGCAAAAACGTTAAAAAAATTAAAAAATGGGAAATGATTCATTTTTCGAATAAAATGAAAGGCATCCTTTTCCTTGGAAATTCAGTGGCGTCGAATTTCTGAGAATTAAGTAACTCCCTTTATCTCCGCCATTGGTACACTGAATTATATTCAAATAGGTATAGGTATTGGATTATCGAAACCAAGAGAGTTGCACGAACAAAATTTGGACAGGACATAGCTAATACGATGCGAAACATCGCCTTAATGTTAAAAATGTTGTCACCGCCGTTCTTGGTGGTGAAAATTCGAAATATATGGATTTATTCAAATTTCGTGGCTGAAAACATACATAATGTTATGATATCTGGGCCAATAACGATAAACAAGTACTCAATATGTAAAATAATCAAAATTATAACATCGAAAGATAAAACTCTAACAACAGGGATGTGTTGCAATAAATATTTGTGAAATGAAAAATATAACTTAGCGCATAGTATAAGTTTTATACACAAAAATGCATAAATCGCTATAAAATTTTCAATTAAAAAGTTTAATAAATGCACTAATACATTCTAGGAAATTAAAATGTATCACATAGTATAATTCTGTAAAGATTTTCACCAGATAGAAGCAATGGTTTAGGGAAATTTACACAATCATGATTTTGACACATACATTTATCGGAGAACAATTTATCGGTACACTTATAAATAAAAACCTTGTATTTAACTAAGACTATAAGTAAAGTTCAGCATACCTTTTATTTATGAGTGGAATGACATTATGTAAAATTTATTGTATAAATGATACTCTTCATATGTAAAACGACGTATATTGTGTTCAACAGACTCTCTGTGCATCCAAGACTGTATTTGCATCTTAATGTGCATTCCAAATAGTGTAAAAACAGTACTAGAAGTCAAGGAACGATGGACCTGAAATAATTTCATTATTAGTCAATTTGTATATCATAAAACTGTGTAAAATAGTGAAATTAATGTAAAATAAGTGTTGAGAAACAAGACTAGTGGCATAGAATTAAGCCTAATAACGTAATTTGCACAAATTTCGATAAATTAGCAAAAATTTATAATAACCTCAAATGTAAACGTAATGGAAAGAATTAGGTATGTAAATTTTCAGAAAAATGTGTAGAAGTCAAATATATCAGTGTCGTGTTACGTAATTCATACATAATGGCACAATTTCAAAGTAAAAATTTCATGAAATCTCAGGTTTATGTCTCCATGACAACCTACTCTTTTGTTATTCATTTATAAAAACTATTGTAGGGCTTCTAGGTATCCAGTCTTCCATAATTCATCGAACAGTTAACATCGTTCAGTTTTCCTGAAAAATATAGTCCAAAGTTTAAATAATTATAACAACAAATCAGAACCAGCCACCTACCTCACACTGCATTTTTCGTTAATGTGTAGGCTTCATTTAGGCAAAATAAAATGCAGCAATTTCCGAAGTTACTGCAACATAAATTCGTGCGGACGTCCGTTCCGTTCAGTCGTTATGAGCCCGGTAGTGTCTGACTATTCATTAGTAATTAGTTGCAATTATTTGTAATTTGTAGTAATTACCGCTAATGATAGAGTCGGCGTTATCTGGGCAGTGTTGTTAATGCGCTTAAACATTCAATATATATTCATTTATCGAATAATAAGTGCGGCTGTGTAAATAAGTTAGAGGCAATTAAAATCCATACCAGATGGCTGTAGTTGTAATTAATTACGAACACTTTTTTTACGACGCCGTTCGTTCTCATTATTTGCAGGTTTTAATAACCTTCGAGCTCAGGGTTCGAAATAGCCGTTAACGTGTTTTTTTTTAAATTAATAACAGTTCCAGATTACGTACAGTGCTTAAGTACAAAGTAACATATACAGGGTGGTTCACTTTTAAGGGGTACATCTACCATTAGTATCTCCTGAACTAGAAGATACACAGGGTCGATTAATTTCATTGAAAGTTTCCAGCAAGAAATTATCAAATCAAGTTCAATTCTAAATAAAAATAGTGTACTTGTTGAAAGTCACTAAACCATTTTATTTAGAATTTAACTGTATCTGCTGAAATTAAAAGTATGTCTCAATATACCTAAATCTCAAAAACTTAATCGAAATCCTGGATATTCCTCACACTGAAAAAAAAAGTATTTGGATCAAATGAGCAGATAGTTTTAAATGGAATGATTTGCGGTAAATGTCATTTTATTCTATTCAAATGTATTGACTTTCGTCAAAGTATGTGAAATATTTGCTGCAATCTATAATTTTTCTTAGAATTTATATTATTTGTAAGTATACAGGGTAGCCCATCGAAAACGTACCGCAAGGGGGACAACTTTTGGCTCAAAAAGCATACCAAAATCTTCAACCCCCTAAGTGGGGGTGCTATCCCCTAAATTTTTTCAAATGGGAATGGGGGGTCAAGTGGGGGGTCATTAGAAAGGGCTTTTAATTCTCTATACATCGATTCTTACTTTTTGAAAATCGATTCATTATTTTAGAAAATATGCAGCTTTGAAAATACGAACAATATTTTTGACGAGAAATGCGAAAATCGATTTAATTTTACTTCAAAACTTACGGTATTAGTCAAGTAAATGCTGAAAATGTTGTCCGCCAACTTGCATACAATGATACAGGTTGTCTTCAAACCGTTGTCGAACATTCTGGAGCACTTGCGGTGTTACTTCGCGACATACATTAATGATTCGTCTTCGCAGATCTTCCAAGGTATCAGGTGGAGTGCTGTAAACTTTGCTTTTAATGTGCCCCCAGAGAAAGAAATCTAAAGGATTTAAGTCGGGTGACCGAGGGGGCCACTCAATTGCACCTCTTCGTCCTATCCAGCGTCCTGGAAACGTCTCATTTAGGTAATTGCGCACATTGAGCGAGTAATGTGGAGGAGCTCCGTCTTGCTGGAAAATCAGTTCGTGTTCATTGTAAGCAGGGTCGTTCTCTGCCTACTTTTAAAGAAATTATATTTCTGGGTAGAAATTTAGAGTATTTAAATAGATAAATAATTTGCTTGAAAGAAGAAAATATTTTCTTGCGTATAGAGTGTGTCTCGTTTTTGAGGTTAACACCTCTGGAAATGTGTGAACGCTGTGGACTTTCCGCAAGCCAATTTTTTTAGAAATGGTGAGCTTTTAAAAAATCGTAGTAGGACAGGCTTTTGTCACATCAATAAAACGATTAGTAGAATATAACCTCGTCCCAGGGTACTATTTCCAAAAAAATTGGCTTGCGGAAAGTCCACAGCCTTCTCACATTTCCACAGGTGTTAACCTGAAAAACGGAACACACTGTATATAAAAGTGTGATACCATACCTTAAAATCAAAAGTTGTACATTTGAAGCAAGACATTTTTTTGCGTGCAGAGGGTTAATAATAAATTTATCCGATAAATAAGAGGCAGAGAAAGTGCAGTAGTAAAATGGGTTGTAACCGTGCAAATTGTGCCACTTCGATAATTTATCTGTAGGTGTGCATCGCCAACCCACCTGATATCCCAAAAGCTCTAACACTATTTCATGATTTACGACCAAGTGCTGGCTAAATAATTTATTTTCGAAACATCTGTCGAACTGTCTATTAAATTCATCCCTTGACACAAACTGAATATTTCACGTGTTACCTGGGACCTGTAATCTACTTAGATATACAGTTCTATAATTTAATGAAGTCCTAATCGTTGTCCTAACCTTTTAAATTCAAATTAAGTGATCAAGTTTAAAAGCAGTTTGGAAACACAATATTATAAGTAAGTGCTCAAAATTTGAATTTGAAAAGCATCTCATAAATATACCCAATATATTTAAGGAATGGTTGTTTACTATGCAGTTATATTACCATAAACAATTTACGTATTGATCGAAAAATTGTACTGCTTTCAGTAGGCGAATACCTCTATCGAATAAAACAATGCATATTGTAAAACCCTTTGAGCGTTTACATCCTATCCAAGCTGTACGGGAGTTTTGTCATAAACAAATATATTTGTTCCTCGGTATTTAATAAAAATTTCTATAGGAAAGGCAAAGATCGTGGGATTGGATTGACAACTACGTGATGAACGTTTGAAATGGCGTTATTTAATAGAGATTGTACAACCATATGTCCGACACAGCATAAAAATTACTCAAATAGCGCTTTTGGTGCTTATACCTCTTTACGTCAAATTCATAAAACATATTCATAAAATTTAATGACATTAATACCCGCAACTGTCTTCTATGTTTGTGATATGTAAGATTCTATTATTTTATACATTTTATTCAGCATATTTTACTAAATTAAAAAAGTTAAAAATTGACACATTTTTTTGCTGATATTTTCAATTTCCTATTTATCAAACAGTGTAACTGAATATTTTTAATGTTCGTAAATATAAAATATCTAGAATTAATTCAACTTATAAATTACGTTCTAAAATGGAGATGTTTCTGTTGCTCCAGGAAAGTCAGACATAGAAAGACTTAATAAGCGAATTTTTTCACTTTCATCACCAGCAACATACATCGTTTTGAAATATAGACATATATGTTGTACGTAAAAAAAAATGAAAGAAAACATATGTCTTTGGAGAATATTAAATGCGTACATAACGAATTAATGCATCATTAATTCGTTATGTACACCTTCAAAAACCTATATAAAATGATACGTTTGATGCTCACAAGATTTTCCAAGAATTCTCCGCAATTTTCTTTTTTTCTTATTCACTTTTGTTATATAAAAATTAATTGACCGTTATTTAGCTCCAAAACATTAATTTTCACATAATCTGTACTATAAATGTACGGGAAAACTATTGGGAAAATCGAAATTTTTCATAGGAGCAATTTTGTAGAAAATTTAATTTTGAACAAGTTTTACCTAAAGCTTTTTTCGAAAAAATGTATCTTCATTGAGATATTGGCAAGTTTTGGTCAAAAAACACGAAAAATCGTATGTATTGCTGTTGTTGCTGACATCAAAACCTACACTTTCCTATAAAAAAATCTCAGAGTTCAGTCATCTTTCCTTATTTTCCTGGAGTGTATTTAAAGTAACTTAAAAATAAAAAATGTAACAAACACTTTAGAAATCTTCAATATTTTATTCCCACTGATCTATCTCAACAGATTTTTGCAACACTTTTTTGTAGTTCCGTTCTCGGATAACTCGATATTCTTCACTCGGACGGAAAATATGGAAGGAATTTCTATCAGCAATATTATTCCTGCGAGTTCGCTTTTGTCATTACATCTTGTCGCCATAACACTTCGTAAGTACATGCGAAAAATTCCTGCCACCATTTCACAAGTTCATATCTATTCCTTTTTATATGCCTCTTGCCTGTTTGCATCCGCGTTAGTAGTTTAACTCTGTCCTTTTTACGAGCCTAAAGTGAGACCGGCATATTTTTAAACCTGATGCCGCATGAATATGAAACGAGTTTTGCCATTTGTCCTCTGGTATTTTTCCCTCTGCATACATATTTTAAAGCCCTTATAAGCCAGCACCGCAAAGACAAAGGGATTTTCTTATTTTCTATTTTTTTTGAGATGCGGTTTTCTTAGGATTGATGTTGATTTACATTGGGAGGGATTCTTATTTTTGTTTCGAACGGCAAAGGGGCTTGTTTGCACTCCATCCTCTCACGCGGTCTCTTCACCTTTCGGCTTCCTCCTCGTTTTCCAGATTTTATTTACTCTTTTGTAAATCAGACAGCGATCGCGAAGTGTTGCATACAGGTTTGTGCCACTTACTCGCGGGATTCGCTTCGCCCTTTATCACGAAGTACCGGAGTATTCTGTGGATTTTTTTATTAAAGAGTTCGTAACTTTACAAATCTGCATGCATATATTTGTAAATATTTGTATGTATTCATCGTGAATAAAGTGCTTGCGCAAGATTGAAATACTGAGCTTTCCTATAAGCTGCCAGAACTTTGAAGTGAGTTACAATAATAACTGCAAATGATCCTATATATGTTTTATTTCGAAATGCAATCGATGAGAAATTTTAAAAATAATATCGTTTGAACGTCCTCCGCGACTTATACAGAGTGTCCGGTAAGTACCTCCTAATCTCTCGGGAGTGTATAGGGGAGGTCAAAATAAAACTAGTCCTTCCTATATTTTTTTTTCCTAATGTGTGTTATGGGGGGTCAAAGGGGTACCTAGAAATTAACGTTTAGGGTTATAACTTTGAAACCACCCTGTATATTTTAATAAAATTTTCGTACGTTGTATTACACATGGAGCTCTACGATTTGATGCTAAAATCAACTTTTTGCTATTATCAGGTGTCCAGAAACGGACTGGCCCTATCACAATTTTTCTCAAAATTTTGACAGAAGTAATTTTATCAAACTGAAAATATTATTATTAGATACTCTGAAGGTTTTTCTTTAAAAATGGTACTCTTTATTTATTTCGAAAAAATGAACGGTTTGCGAGATAAATCGGTTTTGAAAAAAATTGGTAACAAATACAACAACAATTAAAATTTATTTTTTTTACATATTATTTCATGCATTTAATTTCTTTAACTTTATCAAGTCCAGAAATCTTTGAACGGGTTGGCT